CTCCTGCCATGTGGCTAATTAAATCCCAGGTATCTTACCTTCCAGTCCACGCACTGTTCGCACCCACCCCCACGTCCAGGCAAAAAGCCCCATCAGCCCTTTGTAGTGGACAAGTAGACCTCATTCCCTGCCGGGGTTGATGGTTTCCAGTTTGCACTTGCCCACGGAGAGCTCACCACCAGACAGAGGGCAGTGGTCCCGCCAACTGGCTCACCAACCAGAGAGATCTTGTCCAGTTTTCATATTCTTTCTTTCTTTCTTTCTTTCTTTCTTTCTTTCTTTCTTTCTTTCTTTCTTTCTTTTTGGCCACGTCCCCCAGCTGGTGGCTAGTTCGCTTCTGAACTTTCCCGGGGCTTCCCCCAGACCACAGATCTTCCCGTTAAAGCTGTGGTTGCTGTCCTCGGACCGGCCGCCGGGGACCCCACGCTCTGACTCAGCGGCACATGCGGACGGCCTTCAGGGGACAGGAAAGTATGTCTGCACGTCCAGTGGCAGGGGTAGGACTAGAGGCGTGCCTCGAGGGCAGGGACTTCATCCACTGTCCACTGCTTCATCCCAGCACCTAGATCAGAGCCTGCCCACCACAGACTACCCCCAGTGAAATATGTAGGGTGAGCCATGTGGGGACTGCAGAGACCTGGGAAGCACATGTCTCAAGGAAGGCATTCTCGTCCAAAAAAAACCCCAAAAGCATGCCCCTGGGCAATGTTTGGCTTCCAGCGTGCAACCCCTGTGGCTGAATAAACAACACTATTTATGGATGGAATGGAACAGTGGCCGCCAAGCAACATGGATGCCCAGCTTTAACGCGATATGTTCAGTCGGAGTCAGGATGCAGATAACCCTTCCTGGCGAAGCACCTCTTAAACCCTTCCCATCAATAACCCTGGCCCTTGAATGACCCTGCGCCCACCGGGGACGTGTGTCCATCTTCACACTTTTCCCTCCTACTGTGCTGTGGTCCTTTTTTCTTCTTCGGAGTCTCCTAGTCATACGTTTTTCTTTTCAAAAAACTGTACAAGGACACCTCTTCTACCAAAGAGGGGGCAGAGTTTCTAAACACGAACTCACATGCTAAGAGCAGGGCAACGCATCTGCTTTCGTACCTACAACGTTGCCTCTTCTGAAACGGACACGAGCCGACAGTGGTATAGCCGTGTCGTGCCAAAGTCACGCCGAGCCCCGTTCATCCTCGCCGTGTGCCACAGCAAGTCCCAGCGTCCTGGAAAGTGGTGGGGTAGCCCCTGCAAGTCCCTCCTCAGATAAAGAGTTGGCACTGGCTGCTCCCTCCGACACTGGCCCTATTCTACTGGGTCTGTGTACTGTCCCTTCCATTCCCTTCTCCTGACACCGCAGACGGAATTGTTTGGGTTTATACCAGATCCCTTAAACCGAAAGGAGTGTGGCCGTTGGGTCAGGCAAGCAGCTGTTGTGGAGTGGACGGGCTAGATGGGGGGCCCTCTTATCACAGGCGCCCTAAGCCTACAAAAATTTGACAGATAGGAGACCATGTGCATGGAAGGCCAGAGCCAGTTTCTAGACTGTGGACTCACTCACTGATTTGTCACTCAAACACTTTGATTCCCTAGTGAATTGGGAAGGGTGTCAAAACATCCTCTGGGGCACCCGGGTGGCTCAGTCGGTTAAGCATTCAACTTCAGCTCAGGTCACGATCTCACCGTCTGTGAGTTCGAGCCCTGCTTCAGGCTCTGTGCTGACAGCTCGGAGCCTGGAGCCTGCTTCGGATTCTGTGTCTCCCTCTCTCTCTGCCCCTCTCCTGCTCACACTCTTTCTCTCGCCCTCAAAAGTAAATAAACATTAAAAATTTAAAGAAGGGGCGCCTGGGTGGCGCAGTCGGTTAAGCGTCCGACTTCAGCCAGGTCACGATCTTGCGGTCCGTGAGTTCGAGCCCCGCGTCAGGCTCTGGGCTGATGGCTCAGAGCCTGGAGCCTGTTTCTGATTCTCTGTCTCCCTCTCTCTCTGACCCTCCCCCGTTCATGCTCTGTCTCTCCCTGTCCCAAAAATAAATAAACATTGAAAAAAAAATTAAAAAAAAAAAATCCTCCAGCAAAACAAAACCTGCAGTAGCATCATCTGCTTGGAGGAACAGGCTTTGCAAAATCGAGCCATAGCTGCCATTAACATTTTGGCCAGGATACGTGAGTCAGAAGGGTACCTTAGAAGGTACCAAAGGGATTAAAATTCCAGATTTTCTTGAAACACTTTACTGGTAAATGGTAAACACACACACACATACGTGCATCCGCAATATTTGAGTTCCAATTTACAAACCCTTTGATGGGATAAATAAACTTGATCATAGGTAGATGCCATTACTATCAAGACACATTGATCTCCAGCCTATAATGATGTTCTATGTCCTGATGAACTCGAAGATGCAGCTAATTCTTGGTGGTTGAAGTGCCTCTGCTCCATCAATGACTTTGGCCCAGATCCTGATTGTAATTTTCAGCCATGAATGTAAAAGCAGGAACTGACTTACGTCGGTGAGGAATCTTTTCAGACACAGAGAACAGAAAAAGAAGTGGGGTAGGAGAACATCAGCTAGATCTCTTCACTGGGTTAGGAAAACAGCGGCTTTGCTGGAGACCCCCTCAGCAGGCTTTCCTGTCGGGCTCACTGGGCAGAACTGTGTCACATGCCTGCCCCTGGCTACAGAGGCGTGGGGAATGGAGTGCTCTGTCCCGCCTCTGTGGTAGAGGAGAGCAAGGGAGAATGGGCTCGAGAGGAGGTGTGTGTGAGCTAACACACGGGGGGCTACCGAACCCTGCAGGGAAACTCTTCCACTCTCATTCCACACGTGACAAAACAGAGGTCCAGAGGCACGAAGCCACTTGGTCGAGATCCCAGCACCAGATGAAGGGAGAACCGGATCTGGAGCCCAGGTCTCTTAACATCCAGTCCAGACCTACCAGACCACAGCATGGATGGGGTTTGACAGAGTCTGTGACTGACGTTCTGTTGAGGACATAGAATGCCACGCAAACAGTGAGGTGATGCGTCTAAAACCGCCAGCAGTGGGCCGAAGATGTGGTAGCCTCGGCTTGAGGTCTCCTTCCTTCTCGGGGGATCCGATAACCCCGTGTGAGTCCCAGAAGCGAGGCCGTGTCAAATCAGGCCTCCTCCAGGCGCCTTCCTGCCGTGTAGATTTTTTTTTTAGCTTCTCGTTCCTTCGGCACAGCGATGTTTATGTGTGTTATGATGGAATAAGTGTCATGATGAGCAGCAGGTAACGTGGAATTCCCTTGTCATTGTTAATGTGCTGTTCTTGTCTCCTGTCCCCTTCTGTTATTGGGCCAAACAGAAGTTTTCTGCTGTTTCTCTCTGCAACATCTCCACAGAAGTCCTGAAAGTCATCAACGCCACCGAGGAGCTGATAGCAGAGTCCGCAGGGCCCTGGGAGTTCCCACCTGTCCCTCCCGACAGAGAGAAGGGGACATTTCCTCTTGGGACAGACCAAGTGAGACTGGATGAACAGCTGACTTCTCTGGAAGAAAACGTAAGCCGGTGTGGGTGTTCCCCGTCTCGGGCAAACGTGAGAAGACACTGATGACGTTGTGACCCGTCACAGACAGTGCAAGGACACATGCACACCACACAACGTAGCAAGTATATCCTCAGGGAGGGTGTCAGGCCGGGTCCTCCAGAAGCCGACCCTGAGGAGAGGATAGGCGATTTCTTTCGGAAGTGCTCCCCCAGGGAGGCTCATCAGGGAGCGGGGAAGGACTGGGGAAAGCTAAGGGGTCAAGCAAAGGTGTGACCTTAGACCAAGAGTCGATTTGACCTGTAGGGAGCCCTGGGGTGTTAGCTGCATCTCAGGGTTGTCTTGACGCGAGCCAAAGGAACTGGCTTTTTCTACCCAGCCAGCAGGCACTTCGGTCTCTTGGCAAGCAAGCCAAATGTAGACACTTCTGTCTACACTAGCCCCAGGCGGTCTGGTGTGTAGGGCTGAGCGGGTGGGAACCCAGGCACACTGAAGCTGGGGGGTGTGGGGCGATGCAGAAACTACAAAAGGGCCCCGGGAGGATCCAGGTGGAGCACTCCCAGTGCCACTGCAGGGCAAGGGCGTGGTTGCCCACGGAACTCAGGTCACAAGTGGTCTGCCCAGCTTACGGGTCTGTTTGCCAGTAGGGCGTTTTTCTAGCCTCCCTCGGGAGGAAAGGATGGCGGGAACAGATTTTTCCATATAAGTATCCCCGCTCATCGCCGAGCGTTTTCAGAAATGTCTGATGAGAATTTGCCAACCCTTCAGACGAGGGGGTGACACAGAGAGATCTGGAACATTAGCCCCTTGGGCCACACGCACCATCACCAGCTGGCAGAGTCCTGCCCATGAATCAGATACCAAATGAAGTCGGGTGGTTCCATCTTTACACACCCAGCAAGAACCAACCCTGATTTTGGGGTGCTGCCAGGAGTGCAGCTCCCAGAAATCAGGACCGGTTGGTAGAGGCAATTTTTGCAGAAAGTTGCAACAACGACAAATCAGAATGCCTCCAGGTTAAAAAAAAAAAAATGCTGATAGTCGCTTTATCTTAAAAGGTAAAGACTCTCTCCCTCTGAATTCCCATAAAACCTGAGCAGAGGTCTGTCTGCCAGTTAACGTCACTTGGCTGCCCTTTCTATCCACTCGTCTCTCCCCATTAGATCGGCACCACTTACATTTTGGGTTCGATAATTCTTTGTTGCGGGGGGAGAGCGTCCTGACAGTAGAGCATGTTCAGCACCCCAGCACCTACCCACGAGATGCCGGCAACAGCACCCTCCTAACTGTGGCCATCAAAATGTCTCCAGATGTTGCCAAACATCAGAGAGGGAGATGCACGGAGGTGCAGTCGCCCCCAGATTAGGAATCAGGTGTATAAATCCCTGAAGACCAGGGTCCTGCACATCACGAGCTCCAGCCCTTGCCCAGAGCCTGACACAGAGGTGCTCAAAGAATGTGGTTACCTGATAGAAGATTCAGATGAATGAAGTCCTTTTTTTTTTTTTTTTTTTTCCGGAAAAAATGTTTTGCTTCTGATGCGTCGGGCCTCTGTTCTTTAAATACGTCTATAATACGGTTCTTTCAATGCTGATGGTCCTACAGTGGCGGTAATCCCCTGGACACATAGAAGTGAAAAAGTGAAAGTCAAGATATGGTTCACCAGGCAAGGGGCGTGGGTTTTTGTTTGTTCGTTTGTTTGTTTTACAAGGTATTGTATTTAAAAAAAAAAAAATACAGTGCGTGAAATATTCAGATTTAAATGACAACCGTGGGTTCCCGTAGCACACACTTAAAGCGAAGACAGCCTGCCTTTTTTGCCCTCCAAGGGGGATATCGTGGGGGGTTTCATTTTGTAACGTCCTTTTATTACACGCTATGTCTCCTTTCCTGGGGTTCCTTAACACTTTCAGTTCAAAACACATCCACTTAGCCGCCGATGTGAGAGGTCCCAAACCCCAGCAGGGACTGCGTTGCAGGCCGCCGTCTGCAGTGCACCTCACCCCTGCCCAGCGTCTGTAGTTTACTTCACCCCTGCGCGGTCCTGGGAGACGCCTCTCCTGGTCCCCAAGGGTTAACTGCCTCTTCCTCCTCCTCCCTTCCCCCCCCCCCCCCCGTCCAGCTCTTCAAACTGCACCTCAGAAGAAACTCCATAGCTGTTCCTTTGAATTCTCTGGGTTTTGAGTCAGAGAAGGGATGGCTGTTTTCTGTATCTCTTTAGAGACAGAGATCACAGCCCTGGGCGGGTCTGGCTCTGCCGTTTCCAGGATTGAATTCAGTGGAGCAGCAGAAGGGCAGGGAGATTCTTAAACCGGCCTCTGGGTGCAGTGATTTAATTAAACCGGGGCTTTTGTCTGCGTTCTAAAGAGCGGCTCCCACGTTCCTCGTTTTCTCGCTGCCTGGCTCCTTTGTGCTCAGGGATGGGGACTGTCAGAAATAGCAACGGGGACACCTCTTGTCACCTTCTGAACATTGGCCACCGCAGACCAGCCCGGGGACTCAGAAATGAAAGAGAACGTTGGCTCGAGAATGTTTCACCTTCAAAAATACTTCTGAAGGTTTCAGAGCTGCCTCCGATAACAAAAAAATGTCGTTCACATGGCGAATCTCCTGTTTTCACAAGGTGCCTTGTTAATCCACTTAATTAGAGTAGGGCTTGGGGACTTCAGAATTCCCTTAGTCTCTCTATGTTGACACTGCTCACCTGCTGCCTGGCTGGGCACTCTGAAATCAGCTCTTGGCTCCCTTGCAGGCAGGGGGATCCTCGGGCCAATCCCAGCCTCCCCTGTGCACCACGGGGAGCTCAGTCCCTTGGATTGCGTGCCTGCGTCTCTTGTGTTTGAAGCTCTCGCTGACAGCTGTGGGTTGTAGGGTTCCATTGTACCTGCAGGGACTTGGCTGGGAAAGGCAAGTTTCGGGAAAGGACTACAATCTGAAGCGTGGGTAAGGTCCAGGGACGCTGCAGCCCCCAGGGAGTAGCGGTCGGCGGGGAGGCGGGCAAGCGGTCACCACCCCTGGGCAGTGGAGCCCAGGGAGAGCTGGAGCCTGGGGGATCGCCCCCTAGTGGGAGCTGTCACCAAGAAGCCCACACAGAGAGGGAGCAGGGGAAGGGAGACTAACTTCCTTCCCCTCCCGCCTTTGATCTCCTGCTGGTGTCTCCCACCGGCCCAACCCGCAAGGGGGCCTGGGTGATGAGGTCCACACAGGGCAGCCTGAGAACAGAGTGGGACAGAGAAGAGTGGAAAATGGATCTAGGAGTCCACAGAAGAACGGGCATGACCATTCTCAGACCTGTGGTGTCAGCAGTAGGGACCCACAGAGGCCATCTTGTGGATTTATGCAGGGTTATGAGTAGGAGGGATGAGTCAGCTGCCTCACCCCTCCACTGCCACCATTTGAGGAACTTCCAGACAGCCTGGGGCACCCCGTAATTCCCAGCACAGAGGCAGTAGAGGGACAGTCCCAACTTCCCTTTTCGCACTACCCCGTAACTTTTGGCAACACCAAATCCGTCGCGTAGGTAGTGGCTGGAGACACCGGGGGACTTCCCCTTGAGGGGCCCCAGCTCTGCCACAGAATCCGGGACCGGACAGAGGGTGTTGTCAGTCCTCCTCCTCAAGGCTCTCGGGTACCCCTACAGCACCGGAGAGGTTGTGGCCCTGGAGGTGGTCCTGGCTCATCAGGTGCTCCTCTGCCCTCGAGAGCAAGCAAAGAATTGCTATCGGTTCCTGTCTAGCCTTAGTTCTCTAGAATGCGTTTCATGGAAGGTTAGTCTGACGAGATGCGATAAGACCAAATCAGTTTGATCAATCCGTATAGTGTCTTTCTAGGATCGTTGAGATACGGGTTCGCACGTTAAAGACTCCAAGAAGTCCTGCAGCAAAGAAATATGTTCCATTCTCTTCATCCTACAGGCTTTGACCACAAGGCCTCTTGAGACCAAAGTTAGGTCAAGTCCCTCCTTAATGAAACACCTGTTCTCGTCCCCTGACCCACTTTGAGAAGGGCGTTTTGAACCAGGAGCCAGTCCATGGGGTCATGGGCATCAGTGGCTGGAGCTTGGAGAAGACACAGATTGCACGAAAATGGTAACCTTGGTTCTGGCCAAAAGTGGGCCTTTCATCAGCCAGCAATTCCAGGTTCATGGTTTTCAAATGGGTTGTTTTTTTTGTTGGTTTCTTTTTTTTTTTTTTTAAGATTAGAATAACATTTCCATTGTTATAGAATGTTAACGTTTGTTATTTTAGCCCCAGCAACAGAGCCAAAGTCATGTTGATCTATAACCACAGTAACTCTAGGACTTTCAGGTCAGAGTTCGAAACGTAAAAAGTCATAACATAACGTGGCAAGCAAGATTAAGTATCAGGCCACCATAGGACAGGGTGAATAAAGGCAAGGGAATTGGCATCAGCCCCCAGGAGCTCAAATCCCAGCTGCACCATTTCCCAGCTGCGAGGCCTGGGGAAGTCACCAGAACTCCAGGACCCAGTGTTCTCCTCTTTCACACCGTGACTGTAATAGCACCCACCTCAGGGACCGCCATGAGCAGTAAAGAAACGTCACATCAAACCCTTGGCTCAGCGCCTGGCTCCATAAATGTGTGTCGTCACCATCATCACCATCACGGGCCCTCTCGGCTCCATCACCGTGGCGGTGAGTTCCCGCTCAGCCCGCGTCGGTGCCAAACCACAGAACCTTCCCTTCCCCCTCGTGCCAGGAGAACAGGCTTTCAGGGAACACAGAGTAAAAGACGAACATTCTGGCCTTACTGAGCTATTGCATACGGGAGCTCGGAGGCTTGGAGCTATTTCATATTGCTTTGATTTGGCAGAGAAAACAAAGAACGTGAGCGGATGACCATGCTGAAGACAAAACAAGAGACCGTCGAGATGATACAGCTGTGGGGTGTGATGATGTTGAGTTTTGTGTGTTTCTGGAAAAATCCAGGCTCTTGAGACCCAAGTCATGTCGAGTTGTGTTTAACCCCATTGTCACACTCACTCAAATTGTTGGTCTCATTTAAATAATAATTCCAAATTTTGTTTCATCGTGCAACACTGTAAGTTTATATTTAAAATTATCCAGGGGCTCCTGGGTGGCTGTTGGGCGTCAGACTCTCCGTTTCAGCCCAGGTCATGATCTCATGGTTTCATGGGTTCGGGCTCTGCACTGACAGTGAAGAGCCTGCCTGGGATTCTCTCTCTCCCTCTCTCTCCACCCCTCCTTCGCTCACACTGTCTCTGTCTCTCTCAAATCAATAAAACTTAAAAAAAAATTTTTTAATAATAATAAAATAAAATTGCCTTATCAAGGGGTGCCTGGGCAGCTCAGTCGGTTAAGCTAAAGCTAAAGCTAAGGCTCAGGTCATGAGTTCGAGCCCCATATCAGCCTCTCTGCTGTCAGCCCAGAGCCAGCTTCAGATCCTCTGTCTCCCTCTCTCTCTGCCCCTCCCCTGCTCGCTCTCTCCCTCTCAAAATTATATATTTTTTAATTAAATGAAATTAAATATGTTTTAAAATTAAATAAAAATTAAAAAAATAAAATTATCTTATCAAAATACATTTACCTTTTATCCTCTCTCCTTGTCTCTTCCTCCCTCTCTTTCTCTCTCCCCTCAATTTTCTTTCCCTCTGAAGAGAAATTTTTAACCTCAGAACTTTTGAGAGACTAATTTTTAAGGTTTTCTACACTCAAATAGCTTTGAAATATTCATCATTTCCTTCAGGTGACAAACAATAAAGGAGTGTATCTTGTTTTCAAGGCGAAGAATAAATGTCTTCTATTAAACTGTGAGGATCTTTTAGAAACACAAGTTCTCTGATACCCACATATGACCAAGAAATGCACAACTAAGGGCAAACTGAAATATGGCAATTGTCAACAGACGTTTGACTCGTGGCCCACCATGCAACTGACGAATCGCTTAACACGACGGACGTCCACTACCGCAGTCAGTGCCGGAAGCCCCCCCAGCCAAGCCCATTGTGCCTGGTGTGGCACCAGTGCTCATTCATCAGATCTGCACCTGCCTTTGCTGCACTCTGAAATGTTGTGTAGAATTGCCAAGTTTTTTTTTATTATTATTATTTTAAAAATGTTTAATGTTTATTTAGTTTTGAGATAAAGACAGAACGTGAGTGGGAGAGGGGCAGAGAGAAGGAGACAGAATCCGAAGCAGGCTCCGGGCTCCGAGTTGTCAGCACAGAGCCCGACAGGGGCTGGAACTCATCAACTGTGAGATCACGACCTGAGCCGAAGTCAGATGCTTAACCAACTGAGCCACCCAGGCGCCCCTAAAATTACCAGTTTTTATGGAGATGCAGGAATCGGGCTAAGGAATTGACGGGGTTCTCAGTTGTCTTTCCCCAACACTCGCTGTAGCTCAGTGCAAAACGCTTGCTTGTCCTATGTGCACAAGCTCTTGGCTTATCCCAACTCTGCTTTATTTAACTCAAGTTAAAAGAGCTTGTGTGACCACCGTGTGTTTTCATTCAAATCAACTCCAAATTGCTGCAATCAGATGCTTAGAGCTTTGTGGATGTTGATTAAATTTCAAAAAACCCCTCATAAGTAATTAGCTTCTTTAGATCAAAGAGGTCCGGTGTTGTTGGTCATTTCATCCACGTTATTCTGTAGGCAGAAGGGATTTGTTTCACTCCTCCCATGGTCTGAATGATTCCAACAATCCTACCTTCTGTTTGCCCACTTTTACGGCAATCGCTGTATTAACTCCTGAGTCAACGTTTTTTTCCCTTTAATTTTTCCTCACATCACTCCCTTTGTCTGACTCTCTTTAATTTTCAGTAGCTCTCAAAAAAACTGTCTTCCTTGACAGATGAATAGAGTGGACAGGTTTGTTTTAACATCGCGCTTTTTTCTAAGAAATAAACTATTTTCCTGCTATGAATTTCCGGTCCCTTTTAATGCCCTTCACCTGCTCCAGGCAAGCTGTAGGTAACCAATCAGAGAAAATTCATTCGAAATGTTTTAAATTGTTGTTTTAAATTAATTTCATCTCTTTTATGTTTTCTGAATTTTTCTCAATTACTAAATGCCAAGCAAAAAAATGTTTTTAATTTTAATTTTTTTTTAATTTTTATTTAAATTCAAGTTAGTTAACATACCGTGTACTAATGGCTTCAGGAGTAGAATTTAGTGATTCATTGCTCACATATAACACCCAGTGCTCATCCCAACAAGTGTCCCCCTTAATGCCCCTCGTCCATTTAGCCCACCTCCCCAACACCCCTCCAGCAACCCTCAGTTTGTTCTCCATGTTTAAGAGTCTCTTATGGTTTGCCTCCTTCTCTGTTTTCATCTTATTTTTCCTCAGACAAAATTTTTATTGGAAAAATCACATCACGAGTTGTTCTTTGCTTCTTCCGTCTTGGTATTCTGGTTGTGTGACTCACCGGACAAATTTGCAACTTATGTGGCTGACGCCATGTACTTTGGAGTATTTTATCAGATTTTCAAAACTTATAAGTTGCTTTTTCTTGCCGGAAAGTTGAGGCAGGGGAGGTGCAGTTGACGGTGAGGGGGTGGTAAGACCTCATGCTACCATTTAAGCGTGAAGAAGGTTTATAGATGGGGGCATTCCCTGGCTTTTCCCCCAGTGCTGAGCCTGAATCACCTGGGCGCCCGTAAGGGACCCCACCAGTCCTGGTTCCAAATCCTGAGC